GACAGAACACAGATCAAACCGATTGTGCGAACATCGCTGTTCCTGTGCTCCAGTGTTTACATTGCCACAAGTTTCTTTGCATATCTCCTCTTTGGTGAGGGCACACTGGATGACGTGCTTGCCAACTTTGACGCAAATCTTGGCATTCCATTCAGTTCAGTCTTTGATGACATAGTGCGAGTGAGCTACGCCGCGCATGTCATGCTTGTCTTTCCCATTGTCTTCTTTGCCCTTCGGCTCAACTTGGATGGGTTGCTCTTCCCAACATCAAGGCACATTTCTCGTGACAATAAGAGATTTGCCATCATCACCATCTCTCTCCTCACAGTAATTTATCTTGCTGCCATTCTCATACCAAGCATTTGGGATGCATTCCAGTTTACTGGTGCCACAGCTGCCGTCCTAATTGGTTTCATATTTCCTGCCATGGTCATACTTAGGTAACTAAATGTTTATTCTTGGTGTATATTGCCTACTGGCCAAGCCATTTTGTATAATACTTAATATGGTGACTTGAATTTCTGCAGGGATTCTTATGGAATCGCAACCAAGCGTGACAAGATTCTGGCTGTAACCATGATCGTGCTTGCTGTTCTGTCAAATTCTGTTGCCCTATACAGTGACGCGATGAACATCCTCCGTAAGAAGGAAGTGGCCTGAACTTCAGATTTCAAAAGTAGTCAGTGATGGATGAAGAATGGTCTCGTAATGCAAAACTCGATGAGACCAAGATAATGCACTTGGACTCCGTGAAGGAATGTTTTCTTTATCAGCACCTCAGAATTTGGCCACTTGAAAGAATCTGATGCTTGAAGTTTCCTGGTCTTGTGTACACAAATCGGCTCAGTGAGAATTGAGCCGCTTGAAATATATGTATGTATATTCTATGCGGAGAGTAAGTCTTGGAAAAAACTTTCTCCACAATAATGTACAGTTATGCCAATTTCTGAGTTTAGTTAAATTTTGTGAAATGTGGACATGGGTGTCTTGTGTTGAATGATTCAGAATGATATGATTACATACGTCGCTACCATATCTGTGTTTGCCTTTCTGCTGCTATCAAGGGGCACCATTTTCTCGAGCTGAATCTTTCTGCGTCTTGAAAGGTCACGAGTCACTACGCCAATCAATCACGAAAGCAAATTAGGCACTCGCGGGCAAGGCTATTGCCGTGAGCTTGTGAGAGGGATCCCTGAAGAAACAGAGATCACTATTCTGAGCACATTATTTCCTGCAAATTAAACCCTCTGTTCGGATTCTTAGCATCAAGCGGGCCAATGAGCGCAGTGATAGAATCGTCGGGATCTCTAATCTCGATAGGCCTATCATTCTGTCAGTAGCCACCTGTTTTTATCATCAATCAACAAAAAAGTAGCAACATGTTTTCTGTCACTAGCAATCTGGTTTCAAGTAGCAAATGAGTTTGTTTAGGCAGAAACTCTTCACATAACGACAGTCCAATCAAAGCATGAAGATAGATTAATTACAGGTGGCGGGTTTACAGCCACAAGTTCCGGCGTTTAGGCAGGAATCAATCGGAATCAATTGATTGACAGGGACTCAAATGATGACATGTTTCAATGAACAACACAGTTTCATTTGCGTTTTGCAAGCTACCTCGTGAATTTTCTATTGTCTGTTCTCCACATCAGTCTACAGCAAAGAGTAGGTTAAAAGAGTGATTCAGGTTCACCAAGTCAGTCTAGCACTAACAATTGTTTATTCTCCCGCTTAGCCCATCTTGTGAACGTCGTTTCAACTTGCAACTCTGGTTCCTTGTATCTCAACATTTCTGATATCTTCCCACATCAAGAATACTCTAGCGTGAACTGACCAGGGTTCCAAACATCACATTTTGGCCAATTTCGAGTTTTTTTTGGTGATTTTTTATTAGGGCCGATCCCAGTTGGTAAAACCTCCGGGTGGCATCCCCGTGACCAGAGTTCGAATCCTTAGTCAGACGAATTTCTCACAGGTAAATGGACCGGTCCTCTCACCGCGTAACGGGCCCTGTGTGCGGGTGGGGCATGGGATTTGGGGGTTTTCTCGGGCTGGGTGAAAAGTCCTCTGCCTTAAGTTAAAATCAGCATATTCGCTTGTTGGTTTCAGCCAGGGCTTATCAGCCATGATACAGTGTTTTTCTCTCACAACAAACCAACACCAGCCAGGCTTATCAGCCCAGAAACCAACCAGCGAACAGGCTGAATAGCTTGGGGGTGTCTACCTCCACAGCTCGAGTTTTTTTCTTTAAATTCTAGTTTGTGTTGTCTTCTTTCGACCGGAAACCTTAAGAGCATATTTTGTTTTTAGGTATTTCATAATTCCAACTCATTGTATGGATATATGTTCAATAATGATAAGTACTTATGAAGATTTAAAATATCAATGGAATTTGGTGTTTTCGATAAAGACCTGATACCAAATAAAAAAACCCCTCTACGTAGCTATTAGGTTCTTGTCATGTAACATATTACATAGCATCTAGTTCTAAGTTTTCGACTTTACATAGATATTTGTATTTTTCGTATATTATTATTTTAAGATTTTGTTATACTAGTTTTTTTAATCATAAGCTAAGTACCCATTGACAACGAGACGTCTATGGTCACTTTGCTAATCTTGATATTTGCTAGTACTATATTTTCAAGGTGCTTAAAGATATAATTATACATATGTATTTCAATAGGAATGGTATGCGTACATGCACTTAGGGCACGTTTGGCAGGGTTATAGATTCTCGTAGCAACGTTTTGGATCTAGATTATTTCTAATGAATCATGACTACTTCGTCGAATTATTTGGCTAGCTCGTTGGATTCTTGAAATTGGAACTCGAATCAAGAGAACCCAGTTTTTTTTTATGTTTTTCTCTACTTGTACAAAAACAAGAATTGGTTCCAAGTGATTCTCTCTGAAACATTTATCCCTTCGTGACGTTTGGCAGTGATTCTAATAATTCTGCTCAGCTGAAACTCACTGTCAAACCCATCCTTAGTGTCTACTGTCTACGTGACTGAATGAAAAATATTAAAAAAACTAAACGCACTGTATCAGCTCAGCAGCTGAGTAGACTTCTCGCTCTCTCTCAATTTAAAGGCCCAATATACTCGAGATTTGGCTTTACTCAATTTTGTCAAATGGCCCAAGCCAAACGTAACGGAACTCCCGTGACATGTAGTAGAAACAAATCAAAGTGTCTTTGGGCTGGCTCTGGAATGGCTGCAACTTCGAGTTATATATAGATAGATCGATTGGAGTAAACTAGATTATTTTAAAAAAATATATATTTATATTCAGTCTAAACTATACACAAAATAAGTTATTTAAACACTAAGATTTATTTAAAGCTAGAACTATCAGCTTTTGAACTTGACCTCTACCCACAGAGCATAAGTAAAAAGAAAAACAAAGGTAGGAAAAAATAGTGATGCGGAAATGCTCTTGCGACTGTTATCTTTTCCTTAAAAAACCCAAGTAAGCAGATTCTATGTTAAAGAAACTAATCACTTGAATAAAATAAGCCGCAGCAGGCTACTGCTTCTTTGACTCCTCTCACAAATTACTATTTTTTAGATAAATTCGGCCTCTACAAGAGTTTTGCACTCAGCCATTCATTATTACATTGTTTCGGTCACCGGCTGACGTAGACAGCTCACAAAAAGCGTTAAAAAAACGTCACAAATTACTATTTAAGCAACTGGCTACGGCTTATTTTAAGTGCAACCGAACGTCATGATGCTCATCTAGCATTGAACTGTATACGTGGTACAAACATTCCGATAAACTTTTCAAGATGCGATTACCCCTTGAATGAAACAGATACACTGAAGTTGAACTGTTGAAGCAGCTAGCTGCGAATTTGTATCGAGATGTTTCACATCCGCTAGTGTTCTCTGCCTTCACACATCAAATTCCCGTTATCTAAGCTTAAGCTTCCCGTTGACGATTTGCACTGTCACTTGGAGACCACTTCAACCCTGCTGCGCTTGACCTGCAAATTGGCATAAGCAGTGCATGATGCGTTGCTGAGCTGATTGTTTAGGTGTGAAGTGTCGTCGGACATTAAAAAGTTATTTTGCATTTCCAATGAGACGCGTCAGTAACATGCAACCCCTTGCCCCGTGCCTTCTGCTTCACATCATCATCATATATTTGAATGAAAATTAAATCTAAGCCTCCAAATCAAATGCATATAGATGATCAAATTAAACAAGCAAGAAGCAACCTTGTCTCTGACATTCGTTTCAAAAGACATACTGTCGCATCACATGAGATGATCAAATTAAACGAGCACAGAGAAATGGAGTGTTTAACGTTAGTTAACAACTTAACCACCAGACGTCAACAGGGGAAAAAGCTAGCACTTCATGACTGTATATTATATTAGTATGTAATAATGAAGAGTGATCCCACTAACGGTACAAAATCAAGTGCCAGGTGGGGCCAGCACAAACTGGGCCCACTTATCAGGGACAGGCGTTACTGGCACCTCGAGTCAGCAAAGCAAGGACACACGCTTTTTCTGAAAGCAGCAGCGTCCTTTGCCGTTGCCGCCGCCGGCAGCGCTAAAGCGTGTTGCTTCACATGCTACCACCTCTCGGCGTCTTTTATTCAGGTCGCGCCAAGACCTTTTTTTTTTCTTCCGTTTTTCCACCACAATACCTCCAAATTTGCCCCGAATTCGCGCGACATTGGGTTTCCAAACTCAAACCCTCCTCAAATTACGGTCGCCAGCTAACTAATCCAAACGGCGGGGCCCAGTCCGCATTAACAAACCACCCCGCTCCCGCCGCCCCCATCTCCGTTACCCTTTTCCCCTCCGATCGCGGCGGCAGCTTCCGCGAAGCCTCCACTAAAAAACCGAGCTCGCCACGCCACGCATCTCCTAGTTTTTCTCCTCCGCCTCGAGTCCCGCCACCTCCGAGCCTGCCCCGCCGCCCCCGGGACCGGGAGCCCCAGTCCCCTAGCTCGCTCGCGCGAAGCTCCCTCTCCTCCCATCCCATGGGCGCGGTGGCGTCGACGGTGGCGGCGCGCTTCGCGTTCTTCCCGCCGACCCCGCCGTCGTACGGGGTGGAGCCGCCGCCGTCGCCGGCCGCGGCGGCGGCGGACTCGGAGGTGGTGGAGCTCAGCGGGGTGCCCGTGTCGCGGGGCCGCGGCGTGGAGGCGCGGCGGCTGCCCACGAAGCGCGGCACCGAGGTGGTGGCCATGTACGTGCGCCAGCCCGGGGCGCGCCTCACGCTGCTCTACTCCCACGGCAACGCCGCCGACCTGGGCCAGATGTACGAGCTCTTCGTCGAGCTCAGCGCCCACCTCAACGTCAACCTCATGGGGTATGTATATATGTAACGTGCGCTCTCTAGCCCTCGCCGCGCTTTGCTGCTTCGACTGGACTGTGTAGAGATCCTATCTGTTAATATTACGCTGTGATGCTATGATGTTAGTATTCGGTTGCTTCATTTCATTTGGTAAACAGGAATACATATTTGAGCTCATTTTTGGGACGTTATTGTCGGCATTGGAGGTTTTGTCTGTGCTAGTTTAGAACTCGCGACTTGCCTGTTGGGGTGGCGTGTGCACTTGGGAATTGGGATCCTACAGTTAATCGTGCAATTTTGGGATCTGTAGCTGCTTTAATTACTTAATTAGATGCTTAATGTTGTACAAATCTGGCATGTCATTTGGATTGAAATTGTGATCCAGAATTTAACAAAACTGACTGGGGGGGAATTTAGTGTCCAAGGTTGTTCGTGTATTATTTGGACTGTGTTTGTGGAAGATAGTCTTAGATTCTGTTTCTAGATTTATTTGTTTGCGAATTCATGTGTTCTTAATTGTTATATAAAGTCGGGAATGTCCCAAGCTGCAACCGTGCAGCTTATCTGGATGTGTGGTTCAGAAAGTTGCGCTATTCTGGTATACAATAGGTGGATTTCATTGAGGCTGGTAATTATTTGCTAGTGCATACTTAAGTTGACTGGAAAGTTTGGATGTTGATGTGCTGTACTATTGATTGAGGGGCACGTCTGCTTCATTGTCAGTACTGGAGTTGTTTGGAAGTTATTGGATTAGGGGAAGGAAGACGTTCATTTATATTGGCACCTTTGATTATGAATCTTGTTTGACCTGTTATTAAGTTTAATAATTCCATTAGTACTTAGTACATAGAAATGCTATGTTAGTTGTAGTGGGACCCATGTTGGTTACCATTTTCTTCGCTAGAATTTGGATGACATCACTAATATATGGGTGTTAGTTGCTCCTGATCAAGATGACCATCCAGTTACTTACCTGAGCTACTGGAAGCTGTGTACCATTTTTTAATAAAACGGGAGGGGTTGAACCCTACTAGTTAATATATAAAAATAAATAAAAGAGAATTTTACAAGAAATGAAAGAAAACACAAAATATTATAAGAATCCTTCAAGCCAGTGCTCAAGTTCTGTGAATTATTTTTTGTGCTCTATGGATAACCAAGGTAAATACCCGTTTGAAAGTCTCTTTACATCTTCGGATGTTTGGTTGATATATTGTTAAAGATTAGACCATTTCAGACACTGCAGATATTCTAACTCATTACAATAATCTGTCCTGCGTCCAGGGCAGCTAGCCTTCGGGGTGTTTCTCGGCCCGTGCGCGAGAAGCTTCTTCTCAATGCAATGCCGTGGGGGCGGTCTTTCCCCTTTGGGTCGATTTTTTTTATAATTTGGTTACAACAGTTGTCCATTGATTTTTCTAGATCCAAGTTTTGATATTGTTTTTAATTTTGAACTCTTGCTCATAGCTTTTGTTCAATAGAGATTTGAGTGAATCAGGTTTTACTTAGGGAATTAGGTATTTCTGGTTTGATGGCTATGTTTAATAAAAGTGATGGGATGAGCTGTCGGTTAGAATAACTGAGTTACAGTGGATCTAACACTCTATGACCAATTTGAAATCTTGCAAATGGAGGATTGGTCTGCTCTTTTATCCCACTTAATTTTTCTGATTGGTCATTTTGTTTCTTATTGAATATATGAATTCCATTTATCACCGTATTATTATTTTTATCCTACTTTACCCTTTTTTGTGTATAGGCCTAGCTACAACTTAATATGTAGTTTGACTTTATAATTGGTGGTTGATTGCTAGGCATTATCTATGACTGTTTTAACCTTTCTATTGTGCTCATGATATATTTGCTCCTGATCCTTTCAATTCCTTTAAACTTTGTATTCCTGCTATGCCCCATGTTAGTAACTTCTGATCCGTACATTTTCCTACAGTTATGATTATTCTGGGTATGGACAATCATCTGGGAAGGTATAAATTCAGCTTTTATCTAGGAAAGTACTTTCCTTTTACCCCTCTTCACATGCTATTTTATGAGTTCCAGCTCCCCTTGTTGCATGACTGACCAATTTAATCCCATTTGATTCTGCAGCCAAGTGAGCAAAACACTTATGCTGATATAGAAGCTGTTTATAGGTGTCTTATAGAAACATATGGAGCCTCTGAGGAAAACATCATTCTATATGGTCAATCAGTGGGAAGTGGCCCTACTTTGGATTTAGCATCTCATTTGCCTCATTTACGAGCTGTTGTTCTACATAGCCCAATTTCATCTGGTTTAAGAGTGATGTATCCTGTAAAGCATACATATTGGTTTGACATATATAAGGTGATTAATTTACTAGATTCCTTTTAATTTGATCGTATACTTGATCTAATCTCTACTAATTTATTTACAGAACATTGACAAAATTCCTCTGGTCAAGTGTCCTGTATTAGTTATACATGTGAGTATTCCTCTGACAGCAAGTTTTCTTTAATAATGTTTAGTTCCATGTGTGCACATGCATGTGTCTTTATTGCCATTAACTTCTGTCTTGCATGTAGGGAACTAGGGGTCAAGGCTTTTATATATTTGATTTGATGGTTACATACCATTTTCCCACTTTGTTCTTTTCAAACTGTGTTCCGAGTTTCAAGCTTGTTATTATCAATGGTGTATTGGTGTTCTTACATTTTCATTAAGCTCTACACTTGTATGAAGCTCAATGGGGAATGTTCATGCAATTTTATTAAGGTCTACACTTTTGAGGTCAATAAAATGGCTTACATATTAGGCATTATGTCTGTACCATCATACAATATAGTATTACACTACTTATTCTAGAGTTGTACTACAATACTGTTTTTAGTTTCCAGAATTGAAATCATAAGGTGCCTTTCGCCTTACAAAATCTGTACCAAGTTTCTGCATATAAATTCTGGTTATGGGTGCCATACACAAGGGGTTTTAACCAAGTCAGTGAATTATTCCATGTGCAGGGTACAGCTGATGAGGTTGTTGACTGTTCTCATGGGAGGGCACTATGGGAACTATCCAAAGTGAAATACGAGCCTCTGTGGGTCAAAGGAGGGAACCACTGTAATTTGGAACTGTACCCAGAATACATTAAGCACCTGAAAAAATTCGTCAATGCCATTGAGAGATTGCCACCAGTTAAAGATGAATCTCCTGAGAGTTCAGGTCCTTTAGATCCTAGTGAAACAGGATCCGAAAGTGCAGAGAGCTCACAGAGAAGCACCGATATCCAGGACAAACCAAGATCAAGCATTGATCATAGACCTAGCATTGATCGACGGGAGAAACCTAGGGGAAGTATAGACAGGAGAGATAAAAGCAGAAAGAGCGTTGATCAGCTTGACAAACCACGGGCTAGTGTGGATCAAACTGACAGGCCACGGAAGAGCATCGATCGGTTTGTATATACATTTTATTTTATGCTTTCTACTTTACATTCCCTTGTGGAATTTTGTTGTACTTGTAAGACGTATTCTGTTTCCTGTCTCCTGACTCTTGTAATGCCGTGATGTGACAGCTTTGGGGGGATGATGAGGTCAGTCAAATTGTGCAATATTGACTGTTTCACTGCGGCTTCTGGGAGCTGAAAAGATCGGAAGGTTAGTACTTGGTAGTGCCTCTTAGCCATCTGTATGTATTCCAAATTTTATAATTTGTTATTCAATTGGGTGTTTTTAGTGTGGCTGTTTAAAGGTGTATTGGTCTGAATGAGGGTTTGTATTTCTTTCCACTGAATTGTTTGTTCCTTGAAAGGAAACAGCCATAGTTTCCCAACCACTTCCTCTTTGTTTTTTCTTGAAGTCATTCACTTGTTACCTGATGTAGAACGAAGAAAAGCCTCCCTGCAAAGCAATGAGAAGCACTGTCTTTGCGTAACTGTAAATATGTTGTACTATTGCACCTTTTTTGTTTTGTTTTATGTTACACATTACACAGAAACGCTTCATAGATGTTGATCGGACTTTAAGTGGGGATTTTCCTTTCCCCTCTTGTGGTCATGAATGAAAGCTTGCCTGATGATTGTTTACCATTATATCCTCGTTGTTCTATTACTGCCCGATTTAGCGGCATCCTCCCCTTGCCACGCAGTCCGGAAACGTTCGTAGCCGCGGGACATGGAGTCGCAGCAGCAGCTGGCTCCACGCGACGGCTGGGCTACCATGTCTACGACAGCAGCGTTTAGAGGCCCCGACCCACATGGGACGGCTACCTGCCGGCTGCTGTGCGGCCAAGTCAACAACTTGTTAGCGGTGAGCGCGAGTGCGAAGAAAAGCCGGGTCCCTGCAAAGCAATGCTACCAGAGAACCGGGCGGTGAGGCTGGCGCTTTGACTGGGTAACTGTGGAAATATGCTCTGACACTATTGCAACTCGCTTTTTTGTTTGTTTACGCGGTAGAGCTTGGCATTACAAGAATCTTGTTCATAGATGTTGATCTGCATTTGACATTGTAACATTAAACCGTAGCTGCTTCTTCTGTCCTTATAGGCATTACAGCGAACACGGCGTCTCCTTGCCACCGGCGCCCGTGCCCGCGGCCAGCTCGCCACCGGCAGCTTGCGTGCGCCAATCTCATGCGTTGGACGGGCTACCCCTTCGGGATCCTCCGCGTCGGCGTCGACTACACGTCTTCAGCCACCTCCAGTTCACCGTCCTCGTCAGGATCCGGGGCAGGGCTGCCGCATCGGAGCAGGGCAACGCGTTGATGCTACTTCGATCCGCGCTGGTGTCGCAACCAACCTCCACTTCACCGGGGGGGGGGGGGGGCCGCGCGACGGAGGAGGCAACGTGATGGTGGAGGCGCCGGGAGGACCGGTCACCGATGGGGAGGGCAGCAGGAGGAGGGGATGGTGGAGGCGCAGGAGGAAGCGGAGGTGAGGAGGATGAGCTGAAGCTGGGAGAGGAAGGAAGGGGGCGGAGCCGCGGGGAGGGAGGCGGCGGCGCTGCCTTGGTGAGGTGGGGAGTGCCGGAGGGTGCAACATGGGATTCGGAGGAAGACGCCGCAGGTGCCGAGCCCGGGAGAAATTCGTTCCCCCGCGGCCTGGCTGAGGCCTGCTTTAACGAGTGTGCGGGCTGGGCTGGGAACCGCGTCCAGGTAAACAAAAAGCCTAGGTTGCAGCCCACGGGCGCAGTGGCCCGGCTGGGCCAGGCAAACAAACGTGCCCTTTACCTCTTTGGTGTGAGTACCGAGGGCCTGAGATCTTGGTGTGAGTACCAAAATCTGTCTTGCCCAAGATTTGGCAAGCCATATTTTTTGCTATTGTTTGGTTTTCTATCAAAACTTGTCAATTCCTCATATTGGCTTGCTAAATCTATGACAAGATTTTTTACCTAACTTTGGCTTGCCAAATCTTTGGCATGGCAAATTTTGGTCGCAAACGACCCTGAGTATGTGCGCACCTGGGGCTCGCATGGGCTTTGTGGAATGGGCCCATGGGCTGTGGCATGGGCACATGGCCTCGATGGAAGATTTGGCAAGCCATATTTTAAGCTATTGTTTTATTCCTTTTCCTCAAAACAAAAGAAGAAGCAAATTCCTCATATTTGGATTGTTTGATTTTTCTCCTTAATTAAAAAATTAGTCTTTTTAAACCCCCTTAACTTTTGAAAACCATTCATTTTTACACTCTGCGGTTTTGATGGTGGTTTTGCTAATATGACGTAACGTCAAATCGGACTAAGTTGAAAGTTCAAGGAGGTAAATCGGACTATAATTATTTTTATAAAAAAATAATAATTAATAAAAATAAAAAATATTCAAATATATTTTTACATGAAAAATAATGCAATTAAAAATCCTAAACTTGGGTGAAATTCATAGAAAATTTATTTTAGCTCATAAAAATATGAAACTTGTTTTAGGTTTTCTAAAAGCATGCTCTATGTTATGGTGCCTAGCTTGAAATCGGTTAAATTTTTATGGACTCACTTTAGTGCTTATTTGCTAGTAGAAGCTCTCCTTTGTATTATAATTAGTGGATATTGATGATCATCTAAACTACACAAAAGCACCATTGAAGCATCTTCAGGGCTGTAGAGGGCACTGGTCCACTACCCCTAGATAAATTTTCAAAGTAGTTTTGTCAAACTACGTGGCTGCATGCACACTGCCGCGCACATGCATGCATGCACCCTTTGTTTAATACATTTAATTAAGTTCTACAAACTAGATTTAATTAAGTTTTAGTGCAATGAGTTATGGGGCGTAATGTCACAAAAAATCTAGATGGTAGCACATGGGTCATGATATTTGTACAAATAGAATCAAGTGACATGAAAAGCTAGGCACCATAGCATAGAGCATGATTTTAGAAAAAAAAATCTAAAATTAGTTTCATGATTTTCCAAGCTAAAACAATTTTTCAAATTTTCTAACATTAAACCAGGGTGTAGGATTTTAAATGTTATATTTTCATGTAAAATATATTTGGATATATTTTTTATTTATTAAGTTTTTTTATATATTTTTATAAAAATATTTCTCCTCAAACTTTCAACTTAGTCCGATTTACCTCCTTTGACGTGAACGGTTTTCAAAAGTTTAAGGATTTGAAAACCTGGTTTTGTAGATCAAGAACGAAAATTAGACAAGACTAAGGTAGGTAAATTGAACCTGGTTGTGGTAAAAAAAAGTTTAGTTCGTTTCGTGAAATTGCTATGATGTGGGAACTTAGTGCCTTATTGAATGTTGTTGTGTAATAACATGTAGTACCTCCATTCCAAAATAAATAGTTTTCTAGAAAATTTTAGATAGATTAAGGATGTCAACAAAAGACACACCTACCCTCAACTCTTCTCTATTGAAGGATATCTCCTAGATTTAGCAGTTATTGTTTGTATATACCCATAATTAGCTTCGCATTAGGAAGCAATATCTTATGTTTTCATAGATTGCTATTTTTTTTATAAATATTAAACCTCAGAAAGTTACTTATGACAGTGTCTACTGTCTGATTGTTTGTATCCAAATGTGTATGACTGTATGTGTATGTGTCCATCTATTTTTTTTTTACTTTGGAACAAATAAAAAATGTTAGGATTGAACAAGGCTTACTTGTTATAAATGCTCTCACTAAAATCTATTGATGGAAGAGGCGAAATTGTTGCTTTGCCCATGATTTTCCTTATGGGTGCCCATGTCTTTATAATTTTTCCTTATTTTTTGAATAATATATTTCTCTTATCAAATATGTTGTAGTCGAAGAGTGCTGAATATGTGAATGTGTATCAAATATGCGTAGTAAGTGCTATTGCCAGCATAACCTTGGAACTCACTCGTACTGGTACAAGTACAACCCTCGATTCGAGCTGCGGCTGCCGCGAGGAGGAAAATGTGTCGCTGCCTGCCGCCGCGATCGGAGCGAGCGAAGGAGCGCACGCCCTCGTGCTCCGCATCCCCAGTCCCCCTCCCTCGCTCTAGTCCTTCGACGCCGCCTCCCCAGTCAAATTAATGCGAATGATGCGTCCGGCGGCGCCCGAGGCCCCGGCGCACGTTCGCCCGGCGGCACTACCGATGGCCGGCGCTCTCTCTCCCTCGGTTTTCCTCCATTGCCGGCTCTGTCGGGTGGACCCAGATCGGACCTCGTAGCCGGCCCCGCCGCGGGAGGTGCACCGCGCGCGGTCCACGGCGTCGCCCAAAGCGGCGGCAGCCTGCGTGTCGTGCCGACCACCCCGCGCGTCGAAACGCTGTTCACGCTGGCAGCGCCATGGCACCGGTGTTCTGCCCGAGAGCTCATAGCTGAGAACGTTTGCTCCTGCCGATTTTCACCGTTCCGTCCATGTAAGAATTTTTCTCATATGGGGAAAAAAGATCAAATTACTCACCCAAGTAACGCCCTGTGCCTTTTAACTGATTTTTTTTATCGGTTTTCTCCCACCAAATATTTTAGTTAGTTCATTCTACTCTTAATAATTTTTTTCATTTACAAGTTGAGTTCTAAGTTAATTTTTTTATTGATATCATAACTAAGGTCAAAGTTTTATGAATTTTTGAACATCTTATAATAAAATAACCCTAGAGATACAAGATTGTATAAAAATTAATGATAATGATTTATAATGTAATTTTTAACATAAGTTATCGTATCCACTATTACTCTACAAAATTTTAACTTAGAGCTCAACTTTTACATAGAGAAAAAAAGGACACATCTTATTAGAACAAAGTCTACTTATAACCTTCCTAACGATTGACGTTCGAGTATTACTTTTATCGCCTCACCCAGAAAATGAGAGGACTGACTTTCTCATCACCTGAAACGCTATATGAGAAGTATAAATGATTGTGTCTTTCCATCACCTAAAGCCTTTAGGTGCAATCGATTAGTGTTTGTGCATACAACTTTTAAGAGCAAAAGGTGGTTGGTGCAATAAAAAAAGTTGCTTGCTCCTATTGTACGTGTAAGGCGTAAAATCACCTCCACGTGAGAGGGGGTGTTAAAATAAACTCTCCATTCTATAATATAAGAATTCTGAGTTTATTCCAAGTTAAATTGTGCTAAGTTTAACCAAATTTATAAAAAAAAGAACGATAATATTTACGACATCCAGTTAGCATTGTTGAATATATGATGAAACATATTTTCATAATTTACATCTTTGATGTAGGAGGTGTCAATTAATACCTCTCTCTACTTATTTTATTCAAACTTAGCATGGTTTGACTTAGGTGATGTTTGGATCCAGTGACTAAAATTTAGGAGGTGTGTCGAAAAGATGTTGCATGGGGTGTTTGGATAATAATAAAAAAATAAATTACATAATCCGTCAGTACTCCACGAGACGAATTTTTTAAACCTAATTAATCCGTCATTAGCACATATTTAATGTAGCACCACATTATCAAATCACTGACTAATTAGGCTTAAAAGATTCGTCTCACAAATTAGTTGTAAACTATGCAATTAGTTTTATAATTAATTTATATTTAATACTCCATGCACGTGTCTAAACATTCGATGGGACAACGACTAAATTTAAATTCAGACATATGAAGTAGGTGAACTATCCGCCTTTTCCAAGAACTTAAGCTGGCAACGATGTGTTCACTTCTCCAATTTAGCAACAGCCAGCGTACACGGTTGCCAACCCATCATGGTTCGGTGGTCCCTTCAGTATTTCTGCCAAGTGACAACTTGCACTCCTACACAAATATCACCTCCAGGCTCCAGCGCAGGAATCCAACATAAGCTGCGCCTGTCAAAATCGCTGTCGTCCTCAGTAATGGTTCAGGAACTTCTGTTACTGGAAGCTTCAAATCTACCAACAGTTACGCATCTCAATGGAAGGCCCAAATTTAGGGTTGTTCAGGGCTTCAGGCCATAGTGTCTAGAGGGGAAATTCGTTCAGCTCAATGATTCTACCACAAATACCGTATGACAAGCAAATCCCCCAACATCCGAAGAACAGATTACCGACGACCTCGGTCAGTGGACAAAAATGAACTACGCAGCGCGGTGATCTGAATCATTTCACTTGAGATGAACGGAATAGGCAAACCGCAATGCCGAGACATTGGCACGCAGCTGGTACGACTCGAGTCCCAGAAGATCGTGTTGACTGTCTCTCCAGGTACAGTATGGCCGTATGAATGTAGTATGAATCTTGACACCAGGTGCAGAGAAGCCTAGGACCTGTTTCCCAACCCGTACAATCCAGCAGCAGAACCAAAACCCAAGCTGGCATCCTGGTCATGCTTTTCCAGGCCACTTGCCATGGCCAACACCTGAAAAGATGAAAACCATATGGATGGTTAGTCTATGCTCAAATCAAGTGAGTGTAACCCCGCGAAAAGAAACAGACCAAATTCAACCAGCTGAAAAGATTCTTCATGCCTTCAGTCTCCCAAGTTCCCCGATTCAATGCTACCGACAATGGTGGCCAAACACAAGGTTTATCATTGTGTGCTGAGGGTGGCTGTTTCACACACCCACCAATTCACTACCACAGTTGTCAAGTTACTATCACCTAGACCTAGGAGTCTGACGATTCAATATGGTTTACGATACATGTGGGGGCACCGAGAGCATTGCTTAAGATCAACGGGAGGTGAAACTCTAGGTTCTGGCCTTGTTTACTGAAAACCTTTCTAGTTGGCCACTAAAGTTTGCCTCTTCTTCCTCACTACGATGCATTGGCAGCACCGCGGCATAAGGCCCAATGCACTCAAAATCTTCCATCTCAAGTAATTTGCCGATCCTTGAAGCACTTTTACTGTGCATGAGATCCTTGGAAACTACTCCTACTGCTTGGCAAATGGAAATGGACAAACTTTGAGATCTCCCAGGCACATGAATATACTTAAGCCAATAAGAAACTGCCGAGGACCTAGCTAATTGTATATGGATTAAAAGTACAGGTGCAGCATTCAATGAATATAGGAGATATTGCAACTCTACTTGGACCAATGGAGTGCCCATGTCTCTGAAGGCCTATAAAACTACCCTTCCTTTGTTCTGCTTTCTCCTTCCATTTCTGTTAGTTAAATGACAGACATACCTAAAAGCAGGGTTAAACAGTTAGTTATGCAGCCGTTAAACTGTATAAGCTTCTTGCTTGGGCTGGCCATCCTCTCGGCCACCCTTGGCCCCTTCGTCGCCATTGCACATAGAGGTTAGACATAATCATCTCTTCTGCATTTGCAGCTCTGCCTACTTTTAACCTTATTCTTCTAGTATCTCTAAGACTTCCCAGCTCATTCCCTTCTCAGTTTAAGCATGCATGTTTGATGAACTGACACACCTTCCGCCTGTTTTCAGAATTACTGTCAGTAACTGGCGGCAAGGGAGGAGCAGAAATCAAGCTGGTAAGAATCTGAAGCACTGTCAAGTAATAAATTATGTAGCCAGGACTCATCCTCTGGCTACAGAAACTAATGATGTGTCGAATGCAGGAACTCAGTGTTGACAAGATCAGGACAGATGAGGAAGTCAGAAGCAATGTATTGACAGGTCGAAGGTTGGCTTTTGGAGATGCAGTCATGGAGCAGAAGGAAACAAAGAATTCTGGAAGCAGAACAAGCTCAGGTGCAAAACATTCTGTTGGAAAATGCAGGCATGGAGGAGGGAAGGATTTGAGTATGAACTGTAACTTTAGAAGTAGAAAACCTCCACCAAAGGTTTACTTTGATGGCCACATTCCCTTCACTGCTGATTACCATTCACCCCGGAAACACCCTCCCAAGAACAACTAGAAGTAGATAGGGTATAGCCAAGTAACTATAACTAGCTTGTTTTCCTTCCATTTCTCTTTTGGTTTGCCATCCTATATGTCAAATATGGCTTTTCCTTCTTGTTAGATACATGTGTTTAGTTATAACTAAAAAAATAAATGGTCATTTTCCTATGTCGTGAATCATGATACTTATGTTACATTTCTTTTGGGAAAAAGTTCAGCATTTATGCACCATTTTACTCAAGATAGACTTGTAACTTTCAATTTTCTAGATGTTAAAAGTTTGACAAAAAAATCTAACAAACAAAGGAAGAAAATCCCAAGAAAAATAACAATGAACTACTACATTTCCATTTTCTGCTCAGTTTGAATATCTTTACATTCTTAATGCAGGAGAAAATAAGAATTACTCAACTAATTCACGTGTGCCGTCAAACATAAAGGTGATCTCTTCCTCCTTCCCAACATTACATCAACATGTTTTTTTGGGTCAAAAGATGGCATGAATTTAATTTTTATAGTAGTCACGTGAAAATGGTGAAATTAAAACTGCAACTTCATACTTTTAATGCTGATATCAGAGTGCGCATACCAGAAATAAATAAACATGAACATGTGTGCATTTCAGATATGTCAAAGGTCTACACAATATTGTCAAATGGTAAAATGGGAGAGTAAGTTTGAGGTACCACATGGCCACATACATGTGCACACTGCACACTACTCTATACCAGACTAATATTTTTCCAGTACACGAACATCCCTTTTGAATATAAACCTGTCCCAGAAAGTCATAATAGCAATTACCACTGTTTATCTTTTTATTTTCCTTGCATTTCCTTATTAGTGGTATAATCCACTACTAATTTCCTAGTGAAATGTCTCAGGATAGTAGTAGGCCCCGGATGCAGGCAGGACCATCCAGGAACAGAGTTAAACTAGAAGGAAGTACATCAGTGATAGCACTGAGCATTCCAAATCCTCAACGTCTAAGAACATTGCCATCGAAGCACTCCAGGAATTCAAATGCAGGCTCCAAAAAAGAACTGAGGGATTCAGTAGTTCACAGAACCTTATATAAAATTAATGAGGATTGGAAGGAGAAAATGCTAGAGGCCAGTGATGAAGTTCTAAAATTTCTTAACAAGGATTACCGTGCCTCTCCCCATAAGAGGAAACCTGTTCACAACTGAGAACGGATAAGATGCTTATGCCAAATCCTAGTCTTGTAACCTAACTTAATGCTCTAATGATGAGCCAGTATGATGTACTGCTGCTTTACTTCATCGTGTGTAACAAGGAATAATGCGCCCCCGTTCATACTTATCTATGGTGTTTTTTCTCCAGTGCGCCAAATACTATATGAAGCTATCAAAATCTTGAAACCCAGCCTTAAGAGATATAAATGCATAGTCAGGCCCACAGTAACCATTTTATGAATAGATCACAAGCAACATCTTATGAATAAAGTAATTAGTTCATGATTTAGATTAGAGGCTAAATAAAGAGTATGTAGGAGAAAACTACCTTTGCCCAAGTCTTGTAGACAAAAAATACGACATATGTTTACTGCCTGATCCAGTTAGGAACTTATAACCCAGAAACTACCACTGTATTTACGTTACAACCAGCGAGTCAATCCAGCAGGGCTTGCAATTCTTGTCTGTCAAATGAACTTGAGTTTCAGACGATATTATCACTCATATATGTAAATAAAAAGGATAAAGGGAATTTTTAGGCAGCCTTACCCTTGCTTATTTTGTGATGAGGCTGATTTGAACCCAGGACTCATATATATTTTGTGACGAGGCTAATTTGAACCCAGGACTCATATATTTATATGCAGGAGAGAAACACAAATTTATCAAAATGAAAGGCACATGATCTATTGCTTCAACATTATTTTTTGCATAAGTAGCTTGGTTTCTTGATGGTTTGATATCATGAAAAAGAGGGTAAAATCTTGGTAAGCAAAGTACCATGATAATAATCAAAAGTGCAGAAAGGAAATTACATCCCACTACAGATAAATGCACAAGAACAGCTCTTTTTTGTTTCTTTGAGAGAAACATGAGTTAATACTATCAATTAATCATGGTAATGTGCTTCCGTCCATCAAATTTTCAGAACTTCTAGAAACACTGATAAAATTAAAGTTGCCACTGAAAAGATTAGCCCCAGCCATGGACTTGGCATGTAATTGGACCGTTTTCTTCCAATTAATGCAACAAGACACGTTTCACCTACGCGTTCAAGAAAAGAAAAAAAAATCAAAGTAGCCACCTAAACCACCTAGACAAACAATGCCTAGCACCTAATGCTAATGGCCATCTAGTCTACCTAGGCAGTGCTTAGGCACCACCCATTGTTCACCTTCACCTAGTGCCAAGCACATTTTAGATTTTTTTTCTTCTCGGACGACACAGGAGACCTGCGTGTAATTTCATTAAGAAGAGAGAATAAGTTACAGGGGAGAGACCAGAGAGACCACTTCCTCACACGCACACACGCACAGACACACAAGTCTGAACCATTCACTGAAAAGGAGCAACTTCAAATTGTAGGCTAATTTCTATTTGAAATAGTCCACAAGCATACCACTCAAGCTGTGTCTACAAAATATACTATGATTGTATAACCATGTTTAGATTTACAACTACTGAACATACTATCATGTGAGTCAGTACTCAGTACAAAGCCTTCAACTATTAGAAAAAATCAGGTACCATATCATTGAGTCATTTAATCAGGGAACCAAAATCAACTGATTGAAGGGAGATGTGTCCCAGATATATATCTTTAATATGCTGGGTGCACAATCCAATTCGTTTACCATCCAAAATCCCATCGATTGATGACGAGAAACCTGTCCTCCATCCAGGGAAATGTTGTTTCTCCTTCACATGAAGCACATACATACTTGGTGATGCAGATTGGCAGCCCATAACAAAGCAGTTGAATTGTCGAGTAGGGACTCTAACTCTTGACAGTGTTAGCACAACTAAACCGCTTCCAGAAATGCTATACACCAAAGCTTCATCAGTAGAAGCCACAGAATAACTAGATTCTAAAGGCTTAATTATTGCCTCAAAATCCTCCACCATTGGAATGCCATGATCATCAAGTTCAAACCGCTTTTCTGTAAGTTTTTCATACATCCTATACTTCGCAGATAGTGTCCTGATGCAGGATTTTCTGACACATTCCACAAACATAAGCTGAAGTTCTTTAAAATTGTCAACTTCAGAAAACCATATTATCCAACGATGAACTATTCCTGCAAACCAACTTACTATTAACTCATCATCTTGCAAGACAAGGGCTGAAACATGCCTAGGGAAACCTTCGAGATTAATTATACCATAGCGATGAAGGCACTTCTGAATATAGCTAAGAGGTGCATGAATTTTAACAACACTGCCATCAGTGCAGGTACTAGTTGATTCCTCACTCTTCAAATTGGACAATAATGCTTCCGTTGTAGCAGTCTCTGATGAAATGTAATCTTTAGCTTGCTTCTGAAAGTTGTAGAATGCATCCCTAAGTTCTTGCGTCAGTGCCGGTTCAGCAATGTATTTTGATAAGAGAATATCCTCATTTAGCTCATTTTTGGCATTGACATCCTGCATCCATACCTTTAGCAAAGTTTTGAACCAGTGATCTGTCTTCATTCCCTCTTTCCTAAATTGTGCAATGTGATCCAGCAAAGGGGTGCTAAGGCCAAGCGACTTGATCTCACTCTCTTTTATTCTTCTCAAGCCATATGCCAACCACTTCTTTCCTAATCTAAGATTCATAGTGTCCCAAATCTCTTGCTTCTGAGAAGCAAACAAACGAATCTTCTCCTTCAGCTTATGCACAGCTTTCAGTTTAGCATTTTCCTTCGTTTCTACTCTGACAACAAAACCAGCAAACTGTAAGCCCCGTGGGTTCCTTTTGATTGGCACAAGATGAATTTTATCGTCAACTTCCAAGTAAAGTGATTTGTTTAAGTAAGCAACCATTTCAGATTTCATATCTTCCGCGACATCTCTGGATCCAGAAACTGCGACAAAAATCTCATCCATATATCTACAAGCATATAGCTTTATCTTTGTCTGGCAATCTGTTTGATCTTCACTGTTTTCACCCCTGCCCTTCAGTTGACTCCGAAACCAGCACCGCAAATTTGACCCACGGTCTTCTGAAACATTTGTTGCCTCTAAACCAAGGCCTTCATGTTTCAAGCAAATCCTGAATACCTCATGGTCAAAACTGTCAAGATATATGTTCATCAGGATTGGTGCAAGTACTCCTTCTTGAGGCAGCCCATGACCCTTGGGGTACACACCAAATACCAAATTGATCACCTTGGCATCAAACATATTTTGCATGAATGCAACTAACAGTGCGTCATCGATCTTCTCCTGTATTAGCGAAATAAGCTTAGAGGTCACATTGCTATCAACCTCCTTGTGCAACGGGACAGTAAAGCACCAATCTGGAACCCCGATTTCATCAGATATGAACCTGAGAGCTGAGTGATATCCTCGCCCACTGCGACAGCCATGTGATATCTTTGAGAAATGAGGCCTGTAGACAACCTCAAGCACCACCCTTATCGCTTCCTGAACCACTTTCAACTTCAGCCTAGGAAGAACAAGGTGTCCTTGTTTTCTCTTCGCCACCACCGAGAAAGCGTTTGCTCGGATATCAAACGCCCCGCTCCTCAGCTCCTCTGCCAGCGTGACAAAGCAGACATCATCCTTTGCAGACGCTAGGTCAACGTTCGAATTCAGACGCACAATGTCGTACGCATCCTCCAGCGTCGCAGCATTCGCCACCACCTTATCCATGAGGCCGTAGAACTTGCCGTTGAGGTACTGCTCCTTGATCCTCTTCTTGATGCGGAGCTCCGCCAGTCGCTTCCGCTCCATCCTCGTGAGGGGCTTCCTCTGCCTCTGGACGGCCACGGCCGACTCCTCGGCGAGAGAAGCCAGGCTCTTCGCCAGAGACACCCGCGGCGGTTCGACGGCTTGCTCCGCCGCGTCCTCAACTCCATCGACCGAAGAGTGATGCGATCTGTACCGCCGGAAGCACGCGGCATAGTCTCCTGGATCCAGGAACAAACGGGAAAAAACACAGAGGCGTTAGCACTCCGCAGCGTTTCGACGCCGGGGCCCGGGGGCGGAGTTGGTATGAGGGAGAAATGGAGGCACCTTGCCGTTGAGGCCGCTGCGTGCATCGCCTGGAGAGCGCCCGGAGCAGGCGGCCGCGACCGGACCCCAAGAAGGACATGGCGTCAGGCGTCCTGGCCCTGGTCTAGTGGGGTATTCCGTCGAACAGGTAGTGTGCGCGGCGCCGCAGTGGAGACGACGGCGCTGTCGGCATTATTGTCCGCAGGGATGAATCGGCCGCGCGGGCTTCGCTGCCTCGGCCCGTTTATCAAGCTGGTGGGGCCTAACCCTCTAGGACCCTTCTGTAGCAATCAGGGACCACAACGCCAGAAGACCTACGAGGCCGCGGCCCACGAATCACCACGGTGGGTGTTCACGCTGTGTTATGGGCCCCACTCGATTTTTTTCCCGAGTCAGCGACGTCAACAAAAGTAAAACCTAAAATATTGTGATCATAGTCTAATTACAAAATTAATTAATTAATTACAATAAAAAATTTAAACGATAATGCTTGGTTACGTGCGTCCGTTCCATTCGGATATGGCTCATCATCATCCACTCATCCGCTCTCTTAAAAAGAATATATCCACCGCGCTTATTCACTCATCCGTTTGTCGTCGCGGCGTGAGTGTGTGGACGCACATCCGCCCGCTCCACTCCACCCTGCCATGCGCTCGTCGGCTGCCGCGCCGTGCCCTTCACCCAACCGCCCCGCGCCCCATTGCTAGGCGCGTGTGCGCTCTGTCCCAGTCACCTACGCCACTCACTCCCTCGCCGTTCATCCGTCCCCATCATTGTTGCGCGCTGCTGACCCCGCCATGGCCGCTGGGGGGCACGTGTTGTGGCGCCTCAGGTCTTCTCTAGTTGAGCCAAGGGCACCCACGAGCGTGGCTAGTGCTGGTGGTGCTCATGCACCATAGCTCGCCGCCGTCTCCCACCCCTAGGCCAGAATCGACCGGCCCTGACCATCCCCTCCGCTATGTTGCATTGCATGTATGTTTAAAGTTTTCAGATGTATGTTGCAATTATTTTATTTTAATATTGCAAAAGTAGATCGGGAGATGTTACAAGTGTTTCAGAGACGTGTTACAAGCGTTTGTTCAAAATATTTCATCTGTTTTTAGCCGTATGTTGCAATCGTTTTTTATCCGGACGTTGCATATATTTCACACATATGTTGCAACAATATGTTCTTAATGTTTCAGCTGTTTCGTTCTTATGTTGCAGCAAGTGGTTTCATGTTGCAAATGTTTTATTTAGATGTTTCACGTGTTTCACACATATGTTGAAAGTGCATGTTCTAAATGTTTTATCTGTTTTCAGACATATGTTGCATTCAAATGTTTTTTCATGTTGCAAGTGTTTATATTGTTCGGATGAGGGCGAGCTGGGGGCACTGGGGGGCCGACGAACAGGGGTGCTGCGGTCGGGGCGAACTAGGGGCGTGCTCGTCCTCAGCCGATCATCTCGGCTCCCGAGTGCCGCCCGCGCGGAGAGAGAGGGGTTAGGGGAAGGATCGGCAGGCGCAAGAGACGAGGGCGGAGTGCGTGCGTTGGGCGAGGCGAGTACGGACGGGGGCGGGCTGCACAGGCATCCGGACGCTAACCATGCCGAATTTTAAAACGAGAGTTGCATTCACCAGTTCAACACAAACCAAACAAAAACCTCCTGTGTTAAGTCTATCCAGCGTTTTTTATATTTTTTTTCCGGATCCCATTTCCATAAAGCATAACGGAAAGGGTTAAGTACACTTTACAACCCTGAACTTGCGCCAAAGTATGATTTTCAACCTTCAACTATGAAACCGGTCAAGAAACACCCTCCAAGTATCAAAACCGGACAACTTTGGTCATCGGCCGGTTTCAAGGTTTTCTATTTTTTGGAGGCGCCGAAATTTTAAATTATTTTTTGAGCATCTTAACGTTCTCAAATGAAAAACTCAAAACTACAAAGTTGTAGATCTCATTGAGGTCTACAATTTTATATAAAAATTATCTTCATCCGACATCGTATCGAAGGGTTTTCTATTTTTGAAATTTGAGTCTCATCACGCGACAAAATATGGTGCTGAAATTTTATATTATTTTTTCGAGCATCTTACTGTCCTCAAATGAAAAAAATTAAAACTATAAAGTTGTAGATCTCATCGAGGTCTACAATTTATATATAAAAATTATCTTCATCCGACATCGTATTGAAGGGTTTTCTATTTTTTGAAATATGAGTCTCATCACGCGACAAAATAATCATACTTTGGCATAAGTTCAGGGTTGTAAAATGTACTTTACCCTAACGGAAATACCGATGTTTGAGCAGGAAGAGAGAGAAAGATAAATAAAAATCGAGGCACAACTTTTGTTGTTTTTCCTAAAGAGAGAGAGAAATCTAACAAAAGCATCCGAACATCTAGATCGAAACTAACCGGAACAAAAGTTTATCAAAAAAAAAACCCCCCGGAACAAAAGCACTTCAGCGTTTCTTTATATATAAAGGAAACCAGCGTTTTATTATTATGTACGTAGACCTACAAATACAAATCCATAAGTACAACAGTTTCAGCTGTACTTTTGGATTGCGATACTGTTTTGACACACAGACGTATAGCAGACGACATATGGTCAAAAATCACAAGTGCCCGATGCCCCAAGCTACCAATTTGTGAACAAAATAACCAAGTATGAAGGACTTAGCTCGCTTTCACATACCAAAAGTGAAATTCTATCTTGAATTCACTGTCTCATTACATATTACTCTATCCTGAGGCCCTGTCGGGGTCCCTCCGGTTCATGTAAAATAAGGACAATTTGTCTGTAAATGCTGATTTTATGGAGATTGGAGAAAACCCTGCATATTCCTTGTCAACTTTAGCCAGGCCTACTTCGAGGATATACTTCACAAGCTCATGTTTCTGGAGAAATGGTTGCGCTGCAAATTCCTCTATTGGCATCCACTGCAATGGAGAAGTGCAGTACCAAAGCATTTGGTCAAATGGTGCTTGAGTTGGAAGGACTGAAGTAAACTTTTAATATTATGGGGGGTTTTTTGTTTGAAATAAACATTAAAATGTTGGTTCCAAGTACCTGGCATGCCTCTATTTCCGAGTCTTGCTTCGTAATGTCATATGAAAGTGGTCGTAGCAGGCACACGAAAAATAGATCCGATTTATCAAAAAACGATTTGTGGCTCTGCCTGCAAATGATGGAGAGATGTTTTATTTCAAACTAAACACTGTCATCACAATAGATTGCGTCAAGAGAATGAAAAAAAGAAAGGAAAACAGGTCTTAGGAAAAATTCATAATGAACAGAAATGGAAAACACTGCCATTTTTTTCTTCTTCTTTTTTGGTTCTCTAGCTATGAATTAAAAATGTCTGCACATATTTTGTTGCACAATACATCTCTTTTTTTGGTGGTGTTGGTATATTCCGCAAATGGGCAATAAAGCTAAGTGTGACAAGATAGTTGGTAAATCAGTACTAGATAAATATAGGAAGAACTGGGACTAGAATCCAGTCGTTACCTGAAGCCCAGGACTTCAACAAATTCTGCATCAATCTGAGATATGATCCAGAAAGGAAAAAAGAATGAGCAACCAATGGAAGCATTTAATCAAACTAGTCTATTGGAAACAACTTGGGCTTCTTTTTCACACTAGTACATACCCCTGTCTCTTCTTTTACTTCTCTTACGGCTCCAACATTAATATCTTCCCCCTGTATATATACCAATATCTTGTGAATTATAATAGGACAAGTTGGTAAAGAATATACTTATTATATCTACATGTTCAGTGCAGAATTTACCGGTTCAACTACACCAGTTGGAAATTTCCACACACCTAGGCCTCGAAGCACACCACTCTTTTCTTGTACAGCCAAGATCTGCAAAAAAATAAGAATTTCAGGGTATGGAGGATAAAAGCTTTATCTATGGATAATGCCTAACAGAATGTCCTGTGTCATAACTCATAACGATTGATATATGCTTTAGAGTTCGTAAAGGAGGTAACAGAACAATAACAAGCTAAATCCTAAAAATTATCACATTCATTTTTTACCTCTCTCTTGTCATTCATTATAAAAGCTCCAACACCAACGCGGTGGGTTGCGTTTACTGGTAGTGTATGTGTTGTATTTGGAAGCCAGTATGCAAGCATCAAGTAAGTTTCCTCTGCATGATGGTACCAGAAACCTTCCTACATACACAATGAGGTAAAAACATTTTTCAGAGACAAACTCAATATGAATCCTTCCATACTGTTAGACTATACTACACAGTATGATCATTTCCAACTATTTCTCTTGAAAAGACAAAAGGTCATCAAAAAGACATAGTTAGCAAACTGTGAGCGTTGCCGTTCCCAACTACTATCAAAACAAAACAAAAATTGAATTCAGATCATTCAAATAGTGTAATAAAATACTTCACTTTGAAATATACAAGTTACATCAAGAAACTAGTTACACTAGTATAAACATGGAAAAGGTGAGTTTAATTACCTCTACAACTGGTGGAATAAGGTTGGAAAGGGTGATGGGCAATTTGATCCAGACACCTCTTATTCCCTACAATGAGGAAAGAACAGTAATAAATGTAAAGCTCTTACATAAAATCCTATTTCAATGACAAGTAAGTGCAGGCCATGCATTTGCAACCTCATCTCTCCTTCTTGAGGTACCCATGAATAACTAGAATTGGTAATAATAATGTGCAAGTACAGTAATCTCCGCATGTCTATATCACATGCCTTGCATATGGTTGATGGCTCCTCAAGGTTCATAGAAGATATTACAGTGTACTTAAACCTTTAAAATAGTCATTATGCGTGGTACCAATTTTTTTCACCTACCAATCCTACCGTATAAAGGTGCTTCCAGGATCTTTGCAGTAAATTGTCCACAGTTCAAAATTTAAATGTTGGGATATTTACAAGGCATGCACTTATATCAAATTAGAGCAAGTTTAATAAAAACGCTGGCAGCAGGCTGCATACCCATGCCACATCACTTACGCCGAACTTGCTGCACGCCGCAACGAAGACCGATATAGTGGGGCGACTCTAGGGTTCATTTGGGATAATGCTCGATCAATATACGCTCAGATGTTCAGAGCATTGCGGGCTGAGAGACGAGCTTTTTTCTCGTGGCTTGTGCTGCAGCCGGCTGCAGCCAAACGAAGGGAATCGGCAGTTTCTGGACTCTCCTACCGCGCGCGCTTTTTTGTCGACGTGGACTATTTCGCCGCTCAAAAGGCGTTACTTATATCAAATTAGAGGCCGATAGCATTTTTCTGACAAGCCATCTCAGCATGACAGGATACATAACATTGATGGTGAGGGGATCACCTGCTTCCTCCATTTCGCCAGCGCTGCTTTCAAGGAAGCTGAAAACACTCCAGGGTCCATCGGAGTCGTCATCTCAATGATGACTCCTCCATGTTTGTCATGCACAAAAGGTAGCGGCTCAATATCCCCACTCTTCTCAGCCACCGACACCTCCGCGGCCACTGTTGAATTCGTGGAACTTGACATGGCTCTATGGTCCAGTCCACCACTAGGCCTTCTCCCTGCACCAACTAAATTTCAGAAAAAATAAACTCAGAGACTGAATTTGTGCGAAAACACACATTTATATAGCATGAGCTGATAAGCACAACCAGCCACGCAGACTCCAAGGTGTGAACAGTGATCACGATTCCGGCTCCTAAAGCCCCGTACCACGTCCAAAACGAATTTGACAAGACGGAGCTAATTGAGGATGGGTGGGAAAGGACTAGGGCCACTAAACTGTCCCCGTGTCCTCCCTTTCACTATGCATCGTGGTCACCTTTTTCGTCCATCCATCCACCATCCCTGTTTGATTCCTTGTGCTAGATCTAAAAAACCCCGCGGTATCCGAGAACATGGGAATGGGCACGGCCCACGTCTGCTCACCCGTACCATACACCGGTACACTCATTCCACTCTTTCCATTTCGCGTGCGAATTCAGAGAAGTTGGTGAGCATCAGACTCGGGATTCGGCTGGATGAGCAGGACGCGCATGTAAGATCAACTCCCACATCGATGATTCGACGCGCAGCGCGCCTTCTCGCAAAGACAGAGAGAGGAAGAAGGTACCGACGGATCGATCGTCGCAGAATCGGGGACCGAGTTAATCCCTCGAAATGCTACCCGACGCGTCGGGCGTCCGGATTTGCTGGGCTTGGCCTGCGGCGAGGCTAGGGAGCACACGACGGATGCTGGGTTGAGAACGTATGTATGTATATACGCACCTCCGTAGCCGAGGGGCCGCGCCCGAGATGGGGCGGCGGCGGAGGCGGAGGCGGAGGCGAGGCCTCGGCGGGCCTGGTCCCGGGCGGCGACGCGGCGGTGCGGGAGGAGGAGGTGGTGGTGGTGGCGAAGCGCGAGGGGCACACGCGAGCGCGTGACGATGGCGGGGAGGGAGAGCGAGAGCGAGTGGGCCGCCATCCGGCTCAGCGCATCCCCCTCCCGCTTTTATTTTGGGAGGAAGGGAGGAGGAGCAGGTGGGGATGGAAATGGAGGTCCGCCTGCCGGTGGCACTGGCAGGAAGCAAGCTGGCAAGAGAACAGAAAGCGGCGCGGTCAAGGCTCAGGAGGGTGGTGGGAAGGGCGGCTGGTACGACGACGAGCAAGCGATGATGAACTGGCCGAGGGGAGGATGGCATGTTCGCTTGAGTCGACTTACGGTATTTTTCTTTATAATAAAACAGTTTCAGCCGATTTATCAGCCGGCTTTAATATCAGTCAAACGGTCCTGGAACTGGATATCCGAATTATCCGTTATCTGTATGACATGGATATCCATTCGTATCTGTTTTTAATGTGGTAACTAAATGGATATATCCGAAAACAAGGTATGGTCAACCTATTTAAAAGTTTTCTATCCATAACAGTAACTAATTATTTAATTTTATTGTTACTAAGGATGCATTGGAACCATTTAATAGTGTATCTATAAATAACTTTTAGTATTAATTTAAAATTATAAAGGATACATAAAGATTAAATTAATTTTAGTATTTTTCTAATTTAGTTTAAACCTAATATATTTATTGTTTTAGATTATTTGAATACTTTAGTTTATTTATTTGTTGATATAAATTATTTTATATAATTTATGTTTTATTTATATATTTATGTAAATATAATATTGATTGATTAATTAATTGATATTTTTAATTATTAAATATTTATTAAAATGTGGTAAAAGGTGGTATCCGAATGGTATCTGCGTGCCTGTGACGCTGTAGCCTGACGGCGACGGTGGTCCGGGACCGAGCGTCCGAGCGTGACTGCGTGTGCTCCGGGGGTGGGCAGGCAAGCGACGTCGCTCCGGCGCAGCCGCACGGCTGCTGCCTCGCTGGGTGCGTGGCTGGCCGCCTGGCCGCTCCTGCCTCCTGGGGTGCGTGATCTGCGCCGGTAAAAAGGGAACTTTCAAGTTCTATATGAAAATCACAACAATGACATTTACTAGGTGATAAAAAATCTAAGCGCGCGTTTAGTTCCCATCCCAAATTCTCAAAAAGTGCTACAGTACCCATCACATCGAATCTTGCGATACGTGCATGGAGCATTAAATGTAGACGAAAAAAAACTAATTGTCACAGTTTAGTTGGAAATTACGAGACGAACGTTTTGAGCCTAATTAGTCCATGATTGAACACTAATTGTCAAATAAAAACGAAAGTGCTATAGTAGCCAAAATTTTAAAATTCAGCCAACTAAATACGCGCTAAATTCATAGCATTAAAGGGAGGGGAATCTATAATTTTCAGTAGCGATTATAAATTTCATCGCTATCGAACGATTTGATTTTTCTCAACATAGTATAGCTAGTCTTACGTGTGAGTGCAAGCTTGGCTACGCGTAGGCTACTATTGCCCAGACTGGACGTCCAACCACTCTCCTCAGATAGATTTAGTATTTGTTTAAATTTAGGGTGTAAAGTTTTAAAGTATTATACTGAGTATCATATAGAGGTGTCACATGGTGTTTTATACTAATAAAAAAATAAATTGCAGAATGCGTCAGTAATCTGTGAGACGAATTTATTAAGCTTAATTAATTCGTCATTAGCACATGTGTTACGGTAACACCACATTGTCAAATCATGGACTAATTAGGTTTAAAAGATTTATCTCGTAAATTAGTCATAAACTATGTAATTAATTATTTTTTAAGTCTATATTTAATATATGTGTCAAACAAGACCTTATTATATCTGTCGACTGTCGTGTGACACGCTATCGAATCCTTCTTCCAACCGCTCGTCCGGTCCGTCGGCCTGCGTCATTCCCGCCTGCCAACCCAATCCATTCGCAGAGATTCGCTCCTTCGGTCGGTCAGCACTGCTGCACTGCAGTAAACGAACAATTTCCAGTCGAAATGACCCGGACGGCGTCACCATCAGCGTAGTGGCGGATGGTAACCCCAGCAAAGCCCCAGCACGGATATCCCAAAGCCGTCGGCATCGACGAATCCCCCCACGTTTGACATCGGCGCCAGGCGCCAGCGGCTGAACTCAACACCATGGCCTTGCCTGAGTGCCTCCATGCGTTCCAAGCGATAAGCCAGAAGGCGTTCGCCGAATTGCCGCGCCGCAAATCGGAGAAGCTTGGCTTGCCCTCGCCGCAAAGCAAGGCTAGTTGCAGGACGCACAGGTCACCGTCTGCGGCTTGTCAAAGAATTTTACACATAAAAAAAGACACGTTTTTTTTCCCTTCGCGGGTGTTCCATGTGAGTTTCTTGCTCATCCCATCATCAGAAAAGTGCAGTATATCATGTAGTGTTCCGTTTCCAATGTACTCATACACAAGAAGCCTTTGTCCATGCTCAACACAATAGCCTGTAAGAGGCACAATGTTTGGATGTCTGAGCCGAGAAATGTTCGAGACAACCTCGAGAAAGTTATCTTCTTCATACAGAGACAGCGAAGCACTGTCTATCTTCTTCACGGCAAGTACCTGCCATCACATTTACAGGCAAGATTTAGTTTCAGAATCATAACGAAACAAAACAAACTAATAATTAATTGACATAGGCAATGCTATGTCAACATTATTTTATATATATATTTGACTGTGTGTTGTTGATAATGCAAAAAAGAAAGGTAAAAATGATCCAAACAGTCAAATATGGAAACTAAACCTGACAAGTCACAGTGTTTCACTATTGTATTGTATCAGATATAAGGAACATGGGATACAAATGGCACAGCTCCAAATTTTCAATTAGGTCAGATATTCAAATATACAATTACCTTCCCATTAGGAAAATCAGCCTTGTAAACACGACCAAGCGAACCCTCGCCAAGGAGAGAGTCTTGACAGAAGCTATTCGTAGCAACTTGGAGAGCAGCAACTGTATATGAAGTCACTGTCACAGGAACCTTTGGCTTTTTGGCGGTAGAACCATTTGTACCATGCACTGTGTCCGGGGTCATCTTTCCGGCAGGTTGAAGACCTGGGCGAGTCTGGCCGCGTGCGCGCGGCGAGCTCGACGACGGGCCATGGTGGCACGGCCGCGTCAGCGACGTGGGGACAGCGGTAGGGGCACGGCTTGGGTGCGTGTGGCGAGGAGAGGCTCAAGGCGGTTCTGGTGGTGCGACCAATTTGGCTTGAGGTGGTGAGATGGGGGCTGCCTATGGTGATGGGCGGCTCGGCCTTAACGGCACGGTGGCCGGGGCAAAGCTCCAAAATTGAAACTCGACCGGGCACCATTCAAGGCGGGGTGGGATCGGTTAGCAAGACGACATGGTGGCCGAGCCAAGGACGTGAAGAATCGGGCGATGGTGACTCAACCATGCCAAAATTGATGGCGCGGCTCGGCGGCCATGGCAACAGAGAAGAGAGGGGGGCAGGTCTGGCTTGGCTCGTCCGCGCCTTGGTGGGACGCGGCTGGCTGCTAGCTGAACGGCACACTCGCGTGTGCTACAGGCTACTGTGGCCAGAGGGAACGTGCGCGTGCGTCCCCAGCCGAGACCAAGCCAAATGCGGCATAGCGCCATAATGGCGAGGAGACGAGCAGGGCAGCAAGGGCTAGCCCACGTGCGCGGTAGCGAGATGTAGTGGTAGCAGCCATGGCGCGGCTCTGCGAAGCAGGGAGGGCAACGGCGTGCAGGGCACGGCTGCACGGCGACGCAGAGCGGCCGCGCGTGCAGGCCAGTCAGCTAGTGACTGTGTGCATGCACAAATTTTAAAGCGTCCATAGAAACTAAACTATCAGAGTTGAAGCTAAACCACCTTCACTATGCCAAAGAGGGCATATCAGGCTACCCATAAACGCCAGAACATGGTACCAAGTTTTAGCTAGATTGCTCAGATTTAATTCGTGAACTTGGTGTTGTCAAACTTGTATTCAGACTTAGTAACTTCTCAAGTTCGACTGATTTTACATTCCGAGTTCCATTTCCAAGCCACTGGAAATACTATCTAGCAATATTATTTTTCTACTGCTAGAGTTGCATTGTCATATACAAAGTTCATATTTCAAACTTTATTTAAGTGCCACATGTATGTTTTATAATATTTTTGTTCAATAATAACTGGTTTACAACCTCACTTGATAATCACATGAACTATTGGAGAGCTTTTCCTTGAACATTTTTATTAGTCATTATAGGTTGCAAAACTTCATCTATTCACTTTATCACATGCAATATCATATAAATATGATGCTTATGACATGTTTTAGCAATTGGTTTAAGTGTGTTACAGCTAACACCCCTGGTGTTACGAGCTTGCTTAGTATCTAGATTAAGGCCTAAGAGAATTAACGAACAGAGTGCCTCAAAGTTTTAAAATTTTAAACACACATGAAACGAAAAATAATTTCTGTAAACGGAAACAACACATAATGCGTGTATAGTGCTTATGTAAAAATGATGAGCAAATAGTGTAGATGGGAATGCAACTTTAATTTTGGAAAGTGAACATTGTTAACTAGTGCTTTTGGGGGGCTCAAAAATCAAATTTGAAGTTAAGATAAGCTCTTTTCGTTAAGTCGGCAAACACTTGAACTTACGTTAAAAGTACTATTTTTGGCGATTTATCGTGGCCGAAATAAATAATTAGTACTTAAATATTTTGTTCCTATGGGTTAGTATGAAGTATGGACCATTGCATGAAATATTTGTGGGTTGGAGTTAATAGGGTTTAGGCCTTCTAAAAATTATAACAAAAGTGCTAGTGGCTGTTAGTTCGAACTGAACCTAAACTTTTCTAAGTATGGGAAAAGTAGCAAGACAATGCTATTTTGACGTTTAAGTTCTAACCAAAATACTTAAACACTAGGATAATGTTTTTGTATTGTTGGTTGCCCTTAAGTGAGTACTTGAGCATGGTATAGGTGGTAGTGTTATTGGGTATCACGTTGCCCTCTTAAAAATTGCCCAAACTTCGTTAAAACGTGTTGAAACCATGTTGTTGGCGCTTTGTTCGCGAATTGGCG